ATTTTACTTGTAAATACACTATTATTTTCGTAAATTATCTTCAAATCTTGAAATTACAAATAGTAGATGCTCTTCCATTCTAAATAAACCGTTAACATTATTATTTTTGTTTTATTACTTTTAGGCAGTTTCAATAAGTCCTGTTTAATTATTTTTGGTTATATTTCATAATTGGTACTCTTAATAAGTCCAATTGTTATTTTATTTCATTAGGCATCTTCAATAAGTCTTGTTATTTACTTTGAAATTATTTGTTAATTTCTTTAATTCTTTTATCTTTTTACTTTTATTTTTTTATCTATTTCTATTTTTTATTGATAATATTTAGTTAGTTTGTGTACAAGCTAAAAATGCTTGTTTAAATTCTTTCAGAAAAATATCATCATAATTTCGATGGGTTACATACTAATTGTTAATTAGAATTTTGACATAATTTCGATTATGACAGGTTTCAAAACTCATCAGAATTTTGACAGGCTATTTACTAATAGTTTATTATAATTTTAACAGAATTTCAGCGATACTAAGAGATTTTGGCAAGCAATCTTAGTACAAGCTACCATAGGAGATCTTTAAAATCTTTAGTAAACTTCATTAATTGTAATTCATTCAATTTTTGTTCTTTCACTGTTATGTCACTTTATTAGTTCATTAATTTTAACAATTTTTGAATTAACGAGAACAATACCTTCCAGTTGTAAATAAATTAAAGATTGATGATTAGAGATGGTGCAGCAAGTATGTGACGCTTATTTGTCACCCATTACAACACGTTGCAACTTCAAAATTTTATAAGCTGCAACTAGTTGCAACTAGGTGATGCTTTATTTGTCACCACATTGCAACAGTTGCCGCACCATCTTTATTGATGATGTCTTCTTGATGTATTCAAATTATTTTAGCATTGAAATGAATTAGTTATAAATAATACATAAAATTATATTTTATATTTAAAGTAAGAGATTTAAGAAGTTGACATTTGATCAATTATTATTTTTAGATATTAATAATTGAATATATTGCAAACAAATATTATTTTCTAATAATAAAATAACATATATTATGATTGGATAATAAATTCAGATTATAATATTAGAGATAGATTATAATCAGCCACATAATATTGACTTTCAATAATGGAATAACATATATATAATTGGATAATAAATTTAGATTATTACAAATTGATAATTATTGATTAAATTATATAAACAGTATCAAAATTCTAACAAATAATATTATAATAATTTACTTATAAAATAAATCATTTAAAATTAAGTCACTTTAAGATATAATAATTTGATCACTATCCAATAAATTGCAATATCTCTTTATTAAATAATATAAATAGTAACATTTTCAAAGAATTCTAATTGATTATAATTAAGATATTGAGTTCAAAAACTGAACTAAATACTTGCAATAATAATGGTTAACTTTAAGAGGCAAAAACTCAGTTATTAATAAAATAAATGTCATATAATTCTATAAATTAGACTAATAAATGATAATAATTTTAATAATAGATAAACAGTATAAAAATTGATCAAGAAGAAAATATTCAGCAAAATATAAAGGCAATATTTCAGTTAATTTTCATTATAAAAATGAAATAATATAGGTATTTAGTAGAAGAATGATAAAATAAATATGAATCAATTCAATTAACTTGTAATATATTATTTTATGTAAATACATAATATATCAATCAAATAAATATAATATATATCAACAAACTAATAATTAACATTGCTACCATTTCTAGTTCTTACATATAAAAATATTTAGAAATGATTAATAGTGACTGTGTTCACAGTAGATTTTAAATAAGAAAGATATAAATAATAGAAGTAGATAATTGGCAATAATGAACTAACAAGAATATAAGTATAAGATAAATATTTTAAATGTGTTTGAATAAGAATAAGATAATACTAAAACTAAATATATGCTATAAATCAAAGTTAAAAAAGTATATTGATAAGATAAAGATAATATGACAATAAGTAAGAACAACAAAAGTAAAACAAAGATAAAGCAAAAAAAAACAAAAAAAAAACAAGACATAAACAAACAAAAATAAAGTGAACAAAAGAAATAAACAAGAAAAGTGAAAAAAACAAGACAAAAGTTAAAATCTTCTTAATTTATTTTAAGTCAATTCTCATGTTATGTATATAACAAATTTGAGTTATGCTAATTTACATATTATTTATATATATTAATTATAAAGTAAAATTAATAAAAGTAAAGATCTATAACATGTTGGAACATGATAACTATTATATAATATTAAAAAGGGTTTGTATAAAATCTATGTGACGCTAATTAAATTAATATAACAAAAGATTAAAATAAAGTATTAATAAGATTTAAAATATAAAATAATATGATAATAGTATGAATTGATTGGTAAATTAAATGATGATGAAATCTAAACTAAAATGATGTGATAATAATATAAAATAATTGAATAAGAATATCAATTATTGCTATTGGATAAAAATATAAGAAATATAGAAAAGTAAAAATAAAAGAAAAAGTTTAAATAAATATTATTACACTAAAAATATAATGTGATAAAGTTGATAAAAGATAAAATGGTAACAATATTGATTATGATTATATTATTTAAAATAAAATTGATTTTTAACAATATCCATTGGCAATCAATTATTAATATTCTCACCAATTATTCTATAATATAATTATATTCGAATATTAACTATACGCATTGGCAATCGATTACAAATCACTTTAATTGACAATTGATTATCAATACTCTAACTGATTAACATTGATCATAATTATAAAGATTGCAAACTATTCTCATTGATAATTGATTGCTAACCATATTCATTAACAATTAAGCATCAATAATTCATCAATTAGCAATGATTGTAATTGCAATTGATTACAATCAATTCTCACTGATAATCAATTAGCTACCTTATATATTGGCAATCAATTTTCAACACTCTCACTGATTGATATTGATTGTGACTGCAATCAATTGCAAATAGAACTTATTGATAATCAATTGCTGACAATTTTCATTGATAATTAATCATCAACACACCATCATTTTACATTGCTAGTAATTGTAACCAATTGCTAATAATGTTCTTCGATAATTTTTGATCACAATCAATTATTATAATTGCTGACAATCAATTGTAATTTCTATTGATGATGAATAATGAGAATATTGATAATTAATTATCAATAAGCATGGTTATAAATTGATTACTAACAAATATAGAAATCTTCTGATGTTATGAAGAAGTTTAAATAATTCTTTGTCTTGTTTTTTTGTAAATTTAGTGTTGATTATTTCTCTTGCAATATCAATAAATTGACAATGAATTTCAACTTTAGTTAGTTTAATAGATCCAGTTTTGAAAAATGATTTTAGTTATATTTAGTTTCAATTTTACTCTTCACAGAGGGAGCACCAAAAAAGTTATTATCATTCTTATATTGATAGACAAGATATTAATTAATTATAATAATTAATTAAGAATTTATATAAGAGTAATAATAGTGACTGTGTGTACTTGAGAGAGTTGAATACTAGATGGCTGGAAGAAAGTATTAAAAAGAAGTAAATTTTAATACTTTCACTAGTTGGGTAAGTATTTTATAATTCAAAAGTATGAATGATTTATTAAATTACAAAATATGACTTCCACTAATTGGATAAGTCAAAGTTAAGTAAATAATAATCAAAAATAATAATAAAAAAAGATTATTTAGAAGTATTAATTAACTTTTATACTTTTATTATTTTCAAAATTATTACTAGAATTCTTGTTATTCTATGTTAAATTACATTTGTTTAAATATATGTAAATGTAATATAAATCTATATAATGAGTAATATTACTTAAAAATAATTATAAGATTAATTTGGAAAAAGTGTAACATCAAGAAATGATAAATATAATACTAATTTAATTTAAATGATACAATTTAAATTAGAATAATATTAACGTTATATTAATTAATGTTAAATAAAATTAATTTAAAATAAAATAAATTTAGATCTAATAATATTATACTAAAATAAATAATGTAATATTAAAAAGAATTAATTGGTATTTTTGATAAATTATGTGTAAATTGAATAAATTAAATAATTAAAAATAAAATTATAAATAGAAAAATATAAAAAGAAATATAAATAATTATTAAAATTATGTCATATAATATTTTATATATAATTTAAATATCAAATAGTGATACTATATAAGTTATATTTCAATATGAATTTTTTTAGATTTAATTTGATAAAATTGTTCTAATTACAAAATTATTACAAAAATTTTTTATAATTAATTTTATATTTTAATTACAAAAAAATTTTGCAAAAATTTTTAAATCTAAAAAATCCAAAAAATATTAATTTTATAAAATATATATTAAAATCCATATTTTTAGCTTTATTTTGATATATAAATAAAAAATATTTATTAATAAAAATAAAATTTTTTTATAAAAAAAATCAATTTTTATTATTTTATATTTTTTTAAATTATAGAAATATGTAATAAATTAAATAATAATTAAAATTGTTTAATAAAATAAAAGTAATTAATTATTCAATTTTTATTTTATTTTATTGATATACAAATTATATTATAAATTATCAATTTAAGTGTTAAATATCTATTTTACATAATAAAAATATCAAATTTTACCAACTAAAATGTTAAATATCAATTTTATTAAATAAATTATCATTTTTTTAAGTAGCATAACATTACTAAATATGATTAAGAAAGAAGTGTAAAATTTAAACAAATTGATAAGCACTCCTAATTTTCAAATGTGTTAAAATTTTTTTTATATAAAAATATGATTTGCCTGGCATTATAAAAATCGACAAATTTATCATTAATTTTGGCCAAAGATCACGAATTATGAACAAACCACGCTAATAAAATTTTAATCATTTTATTGTTTGTTAAAATTATCAAATTTGGAAGCTCAAAATCGTTCTAATTTATTTCATGAGTAGCAGTAAATGCCTGAAGTCCAGTTATAGCACGCCCTAAAATAAGGGTATGTATATCGTAGGTACCTAATGTCCAAAAAATGAAATTAGCATTTTTTTCGAATCTAAAATATACAAATCATTGAGATGAATCCAACCTTCATAAGTATTTGTAGTACATAAATTTTGTTCATGACGCATAATGTGATATTCATCGTTAATCCCATTTCCGCCCAGTATATCTCTCATAGACCGAGCAATATCTAAAGCTTTGCCACATGAATTACGCTTTATAAGCGAAATCATTTCCGGTACAGCTTTTCCTTGATCCTTCAATCGACCAACTTGTAGAACAGCTTGAAGACCAATAGCTATCTGATTAATAATATTACAATTTTGCTTAAATGAAGAATACGGAACTTTTGATAGTTTATTTTATAGGATCAGAGCAATAAATGATAACACACCTCTGTATTGGCATCAGCCAATTTTTGCTGGATTAATTGGAATTTAGCTATCGGTACTCCAAACTGACGTCGATTAAGGGCATACTCACGTGCTTGTGCTAAACAAAATTCTGCAGCTCCAAGCACACCCCACGCAATTCCATATCGAGCACTATTTAAACAACCAAACGGTCCCTATAGAGAATTTTTTAGGCAATTGAATTTAATTCACGGACAACATTACCCAAAGCAAGTAGTAAGTGTTTATACTGACCTTTAAATAAAATATATTTTATGGTAATTGAAATTACTTGTTTCTTACCTTAAGACCGTGAACATTAGGAAGTAAATTCTCCTCTGGTACCTCCACATTATCCATCATAATCATTCCAGTGATAGAGGCACGAAGTGACAACTTTCCTTTTATTATAGGGGTCCATAAACCTTTCATCCCCTATGATAACGATAAAGAAAATTAAAAAGATCAAAAAATATATATACATGTGATATATTTAAATTGTATGGTATTATTAAATTAAACCTTTTCCAATATGAAACCGCGTATTTTATTGTCTACTTTTGTTTTCGCCCAAACTATAAACACATCAGCAATTGGCGAATTTGTGATCCAAGTTTTTGATCCATTTAGAATATAGACTCCATTTTCTTTATGTGCAGTAGTCGTTATTCCACCCGGATCTGATCCATGATCAGGTTCAGTCAAGCCAAAACAGCCAACCAATTCCCCTTTTGCTATTTATAAACACTTATATTAATAAAAATATAACAATTAATGAGATATATATTTAAAAATTCGTACCAAGTTTATGTAGATATTTTTCTTTTTGAGCTTCTGTACCAAATGTGTCAATAGGATGCATCACTAAAGAAGATTGAACGCTCATAGCAGAGCGATAACCGCTGTCAACTCTAAAAAAGAATCAGAAAGACTTGAGATAAAGACAAATAACTCAAAATCAGAATAATTTATTTTTATTACCTCTCAACTTCACGTGCAATAAGACCATACCCAACTGAAGATACACCAGCACATCCATAACCTTTTATTGCAGCGCCCAATAAACCAATCTCTCCCATTTCATTAAGTATTTTTCGATCAAAATCTATAAATTAAAATTATAATGATTATTAATTAACAAGCTAAAATATCTGAAAATGAGTTTTCTCACCTTCATTACGATATGCTTTTAACACACGAGGAAAAAGCTTCTGTTGACAATACTCTCGTGCTGTTTCTCTGAGTAAACAGCAAAAAACAAGCTTGTGGGAATTGATGTCCATTTACTCAAGCCAAATCCCTCATGGAACTAAGGGAAAGCGAGAAGACTAACCTAATAGCTTTCTCCTCTTCAGTGAGTTGTGTTTCTAAAGATAAGGGATCTTCCCAGTTATATAGAGCTGCATTTAAATAATCGTGTTAGAGGTAAATTTGAATTATATAAAGACGCATATTACTCGTAAAATGGTACCTGAGGTACTTGAAGCCATGTAACGCCGACCTGGCGTATTTCGAGCAAGTGATGATTTGAGGGATGAGAGGCACCTTAAGGATAAATACGAGAGAGGAAGTTTAAACATGTTGAAACGTAAAAAAAGTGCGCGAATTTCCCACGTTTTGATCAAAAATTTCGAAATTAATAAATCAATAAAGATTGGCTTAGAATTATATACCAATACTACTTTTCTTTTGTTGAGAGTTTAATCATGTCGTTAGCTGAAGGGTCTACTACCGCCTTACGCCTTTCTGACGTTTTGAGAAATGCCAGCTCGAGCGGTAAAAGAAAGGGAAAAGGGAAGGCAGTAACTGTTGATTTTGCTAGTACTCTATTACAGAATTTAGACAGAGCTCACCAAGAATGGCAGGAAACTCTTGCAAGATTTTCTGAAGTTTTGCAACAGAGTAAAAGGTATAATATAATTTTGAAAATTTCTTTTGAATTTTCTCTACTTAATAATTCAACTATTTACTAAATTTTTATATAATCCGAATATTTCTTCGGGATTTTTAGTGTTTCTGAGCGTATGTACTTGTTTGATCAAGCATTTGTTTTTTCTCGAGAATTTTTGGTTAATTTTCGGTGGTCGGTCTATATATGTAGCCGAGCAAACAATATTCGATCAAGAAGAATATGGAAATGATTTAGAATATAATAGTCTCCCGACGTCGTTTTATTATGATGATTTTTCAGATGACGATACTACTGATACCATTGATGGAGAAGATTATGAATCTAGCTATTTGTACGCGCAAGCAATTGATCGAGAGGTGATTTTTGAAAAAGAAACATTTGATAGAGACTGGCTATTACAGTACGTATAGATTTTTATATAAATATGTAAACGGGTTTTTTTAAAAAAGCAAAAATTTCAATATAACATATTAATAAATAAATAAATTCATTAAGTCAGTGTAAATTGCATACAGAGATGAGTCGTGATAAAAAATTTGCAATCGAACCGGACAAGTTATGCACAAACATCTTTACTATTTTACGTTCTGAAAAAGAGGGTGAGTAAAAATAGATATTTTTTTGTTTTATTTACTTTATCCAGTATAGACTTATTAATTTGTATGCATTCTATCCGTCATTCACCTAAAAGATAAAGATATTGAGAATTCGTTGGTTGATTTAATTGGATATGATAATGTAGAACTTGTGAGCATATTATTGTGCAATCGCACCAAACTCGTGGAAAATATTCAAAGTCAATCAAAATATAACAAGCGGGATGATATGGTGCATGATCTTCAATTTAAGTAAAATTTCGTCTGTTTCTGATATCTCAATCCTAATAATATAAGCTATTCATTATGTAGAAGGCTCAAAGCACCTTGTTAACACAACCTCAGCCTCTCTTAAATGAACCAAGACGTCCACAATATGGCACACAAGTTGTGGTTCAATCTGAAGCTGAAATACGAGAGATGAAACAATCAAGAAAAAAAGAACAAAAGAAATTAATAAAGCAAAGATCTGGTATTCTATATGATGCTCACTAGATTTTCCAATTATTTCGATAATTTTAAATAGGATATATAATGTTATGTTTTCAAAAAAAAAAATGGTTTCTAGAAGAAGAAGAGGACACATTATCTGCAAGCATATTAGGATTCAGTCCGGAAGAGTTGCGACGAAAAAGAGAAGATCAATTACGTGCCGCCGCCGCGGCAGCTCAAATGGTTCCGCAATATGTAAATATATTTAATAATAACCACTTGCAAATTCTCTTTGATAATTGTTAACATACATTGATTCTTTTTAATATATATATACAGAAAGGAATTATTGAACAAAAATTGCCGCATGTTTATTCATCTTCACATTCAGGCAATGTTTTATCTATATATGGAACACGATATTCTTTGCCCGTCGGCACAGTTCAAAACGAACATCATGTAAGAGAATTAATTAATAAATCTATTGAAAAATATTGAAAATAATTATTCATGATATATATCACAGAATCACGAAGAAATAATAATACCAATTACCAAAAAATCGCCACCTACTCGAGATGAAAAATTGATTCTCTTGGAAGATATGGACCATTTATGTAAAGGGACATTTAGGGTGAAGCTCTTAATAATTATTTTTGGTTCGATTCTAACTTTTTAAGAAAAATTATATTTGACAATATGATTGTTTGTTTTATAATTAGGCTTACAAATCCTTGAATCGTATACAATCAATTGTTTATCCTTGTGCTTATGAATCTAATGAAAACATGCTGATATGCGCGCCTACCGGAGCTGTAAGTAATTGACATTTCATTGATATTTCATTGATATTAATATTTGAGAATTATATTTTTTATTAATTTTATTTTATCATTCTTTTATTTCTAGGGTAAAACTGATATAGCCCTGCTAACCATACTGCGCACACTCGCGAAATATTGTCATCCTACCCCGACAAAATCATCAGAACCTCAGAAATTCGTAATAAATAAAAATGAATTCAAAATTGTTTATGTGGCTCCTATGAAAGCATTAGCTGCCGAGATTGTCAAGAAGATGGGTAGTCGATTGGCTTGGTTAAACATTCAAGTCAGAGAATTAACAGGTATTCACTATTTCATTATAAATTATTTTTTTAATTGTGAGTCGCTGCAGCAGCATGTTAATCAAATTTATATATATTAATAAAAAATAATAAATAATATAAATAACAAATAGGTGATATGCAATTGACTAAAGCAGAAATTTCAAATACTCAGATTTTAGTCACGACCCCAGAAAAGTGGGATGTGGTTACACGTAAAAGTACTGGCGATGTTGAACTTGCACAAGTAATATTCTTAGATTGGATATTATCGTTCTGAACTTTTACTTCATGTTCTATTTATTTTTTTTTAATAGAAAGTGAAATTACTTATCATTGATGAAGTTCATTTACTTCATGATGATCGTGGAGCAGTTCTTGAAAGCATTGTTGCTCGTACCGCAAGACAGGTGATTTTGATTATAATTACATTTTGATTATAATTACATTTAACATAAATTAATAACCATTTTTCTTGATTCTTTATTAAAGGTTGAATCCAGTCAGACTATGATTCGTGTTATAGGATTATCCGCTACATTGCCAAATTATGTAGACGTGGCACGTTTCTTGGGGCATGTCTTTTTTAATTTTTACATCAAATCAAAAAATGGATATAAATTAACTTAACAATTCCTTTATTTATAGAGTCAATCTAATGCGTGGATTATATTATTTTGATGCTGGATATCGTCCAGTGCCACTTGAACAGCACTTTCTAGGTGTGAAAGGTAAAGCTGGTACAACAACATCAAATAACAACCTAAATCAAGTATGCTGGGAGAAGGTGAGAATATATATGTAACTAAATGACGACGATTAAATAATAAGAAAATTTCCTTTAACTTGATAATTTTTAATTTCAAGGTTCTTGCTCTCGTGAAAGCTGGTCATCAAGTCATGGTTTTTGTACATGCGCGCAAAGAAACAGTCAAAACAGCCCAAATGCTACGTGACATGGCTACTATGGAAGGGCATATAGGTATAGTTAATTGAGAATAAACCTACTTTTCGGAATCATTAAAGATAAAAAGTTTCAATTACCTGTGCCGCACCCGAAATTTAGACCTGTTTGACAATAGAGAGCATCCTAAGAGTGGGCTATTCGTAAAAGATGTCACTAAATCGAGAAATCGCGAATTGAGAGAATTGTTCTCGCATGCTTTTGGCATTCATCATGCAGGAATGCTCAGACAAGATAGGGTCTTAACAGAAAACATGTTTGCCGAAGGGGTCATTAAGGTATGACTATTAAAAATCTTAAATTTAAGTTTGCAATTATGCAATTACTTAATTCCTATCTATAACCTATAGGTTTTATGCTGTACTTCTACATTGGCTTGGGGTATAAACTTGCCTGCTTTCGCAGTAATTATCAAGGGTACTCAAATTTATGACGCATCAAAGGGAAACTTTGTTGATTTGTCTATTCTTGATGTATTACAAATTTTTGGTAGAGCTGGTCGCCCGCAGGTTTGTTGAATTAATATGGATAAAATATTTTTTTAATTTTCAATTTATCGAATGATTGATTTTTTATTAATCATATTTCCATAGTATGAGACTCATGGTGTTGGATATATTTTGACAACACAAGATAAATTATCTCATTACGTATCAGCAATGACTCAACAGCATGCTATCGAGTCAAAGTAAGTTTAGTATTTTTTGGATATCATTTGAATTATTATTAATATATTTTCTTCTACATTTTCATTTCAAGGTTTATTATGAGTATGGTAGACAATCTTAACGCAGAAATATCCCTAGGCACTGTAACTAATGTCGACGAAGCTATTGCGTGGCTTGGCTACACGTATTTATTTGTGCGTATGAAAAAAAACCCATTGAACTATGGCATGGATCATGAAACACCAATAAACGATCCGGAGCTTTTACAACGCCGCAAAGAATTAGTAATTATCGCAGCAAAAAAACTTCATCAAAATCAAATGATAACTTTCAATGAAAAGTCTGGTGAATTGACTGCCAAAGATTTGGGACGCATTGCCTCTAATTATTATATTGGGCACTCGAGCATTGAAATATTTAATCGAGAAATGAAAGAACAAATGACAACGGCGGATGTTTTGGCTATGTTAAGTCTGAGTAGTGAATTTGCAAATATTAAATCAAGGGAGAATGAGCATAATGAATTGAAAATGTTGGAGGAAAGATCTGCGTATAAAATAAAGGTGTGTCATTAATAATGCTTTTTTATGCTAAGGTTAATTACTGAATTTAAAAATCTTATTTAATAATTTGATATTTTTTTTCCAGAAAACCTCAGACACAACTGCTGGTAAAGTCAATATTCTTTTGCAATCTTATTTATCAAAGTTGCCTCTTGAAGACTTTGCATTAGTATCTGATTCATCATATGTTGTCCAAAATGCCAAGCGTATTGTGCGTGCCTTATTTGAAATTGCTCTCAATCGTAGTTGGAGCAACGTCACTTTTGAGTTACTTGATTTATGTAAAGCTATTGACAAAAAAATGTGGATGTATGAACATCCTCTTGCTCAATTCGGGCTTCCTGCTGACATCATTTCAAAACTCAAAAATCATCCGCACCAAGCTTCCATGGAGGAATTAAGAGATATGGATCCAACTGAACTTGGGCAATTAGTTCATCATGTGCGCATGGGCGCCACAATTTCCAAATGTGTGGATCAATTTCCGATGCTTAATATAAAAGCGGAGATTGCTCCTATTACGAGTAATGTGTTGCGTGTTACTCTTTATATAACTCCGGATTTTGTTTGGAATGATCGTGTTCATGGCACTGTTGAACCATGGTGGATATTGGTTGTCGATTCGGAAGATGTCGAGATTTATCATTCAGAATATTTTTTGCTTAGTCGTAAACAACTTGGCGAATCTCAAAAGATTGGATTCACGATTCCTATTCAAGAACCTTTATCACCACAAATTTATATTTATGCTGTTTCTGATCGCTGGCTTGGAGCAGAGGAAAGGGTCCCAATTCCATTTCAAGATTTGATACTACCGGAAAAATATCCAAGACATACAGATTTGCTGGATTTACAACCTTTGCCAGTAACTGCTCTTCATGATGAAATTTTAGAAGAAATATGCGGCAAACGGTTTTCTCATTTTAATCCAATTCAGACACAAATTTTTCATACATTGTATAATACTTCACATAATGCGCTTATTGGTGCACCAACTGGTTCGGGAAAAACTGTAGCAGCCGAGTTAGCTATGTGGTAAACTTTTTAAAACCATAAAAATTATCCAAATATTTGCTTTAATTTGCATTTTCCATATTTTTAGGTGGGCCTTTAGGGAAAAGCCTAACACAAAAGTAGTTTACATAGCCCCGCTAAAAGCCCTTGTGCGTGAACGTGTAGACGACTGGCGGACAAGATTAACTGGTTCTATGGGGAGAACTTTGGTTGAACTAACGGGTGATGTTACGCCAGATATTCAAACATTAAAAAACGCTGATATAATAATCACAACTCCAGAAAAGTGGGATGGTATTAGTAGAAATTGGCAGAATAGGCGCTATGTACAAGATGTCTCTCTAGTAATCATTGATGAAATTCATTTGCTTGGAGGAGAGCGTGGCCCAATTCTTGAAGTTATTGTTTCTCGCATGAATTATATAGGATCACAAACAGACAAAAAGGTACGAATTGTGGGGCTTTCAACTGCATTAGCCAACGCACGTGATTTAGCAGACTGGTTAGGTATTGATGAGGTTGGTCTCTTCAATTTCCGGCACTCTGTGCGTCCTGTTCCACTCGAAATTTATATCGATGGTTTTCCCGGGAAGCATTATTGCCCGCGTATGGCAACCATGAATAAACCTACATACGCTGCTATCAAAACACATTCACCAGACAAGCCGGTGATCGTCTTTGTTTCTTCACGGAGGCAAACTCGGCTTACTGCTCAGGATCTTATAGCATATTGTAATATGGAAGCTCCACCGCGTAGTTTCCTTAAAATTTCGGAAGAATCATCACAGATGGTTCTCTCACAAATCAAAGATAAAAACTTAAAGATGTCTCTTGCATTTGGTATAGGCTTACATCATGCTGGACTCACCGAGTCAGATCGAAAAATTGTCGAAGAGTTATTTGTAAATCTTAAAATTCAAGTTCTAATCGCGACTAGCACCTTGGCATGGGGAGTCAACTTTCCCGCGCATTTAGTGGTTATAAAGGGAACTGAATTTTACGATGCTAAATCAAAGGGATATGTAGATTTTCCGATTACTGATGTACTTCAAATGATGGGAAGAGCAGGTATATAACGATTCGCTTAAGTATATTTTACATATCATTTTGATTTCTTATGAATCTAATTTATCCGTCTTTTGTTAAGGTCGACCTCAATATGATACTTCTGGAATTGCACGGATATTTGTTCATGATGTCAAAAAAAACTTTTATAAGAAATTTCTTAATGAGCCTTTCCCTGTCGAATCGAGTTTACATCACCATTTACCTGATCATTTTAACGCTGAAATAGTTGCGGGAACAATAAACTCTAAAGAAGCTGTTATGGAATATCTCACTTGGACGTACTTTTTTAGGAGACTCCAGCAAAATCCTTCTTATTATCAGCTGAAAGAGATTACTCACAACGCCATCAATACATATCTCTCTAAAATGATTGAAAATGCTCTCGAAGAACTTGTACTGTCTGGTTGCATTGAAATAACTAACGATATGGAATTAGTGCCAACATCCCTTGGTAAATCCGCTTCCTTTTATTACCTACAACACAAGACTATGAGACTCTTTCGAGACCAAATTAAAAGCAGATCTTCATTTCGGGATCTCTTAACTATTTTAAGCGATGCAGAAGAATATGCGGAGATTCCAGTTCGGCACAATGAGGATATTCATAATCGTGACCTGGAAAAAGATGTTCGTTGGCCTATAGGAGCTAATAAACCTTATGATAATCCTAATGCCAAGACATTTTTGCTTATCCAAGCACATTTTACCAGAGCTCAATTGCCTATTTCTGATTATTTTACTGACACGTTGTCGGTTTTGGATCAGTCAATACGTGTTCTACAGGTAAAATTTAATTCTTCCTGTATTAGTTAATTGAGAACTTAATTTTTATATTTAATATTTTTCTTGGCGTTAAAATAGGCAATGATTGATGTTGCTGCAGAGCAAGGCATGTTAACGACAAGTCTTCATATTATGAATATTGTGCAATCCATAAAGCAAGCTCGCTGGCCTGATGAATCCGCCCTGTTGACCTTGCCTGGAATAGAGAAACATCATGTGAAACCTTTAGTTAAACAAGTAAGGATTCATGTTTAATTAATGAATTAATTCCAGGATTTTAGTTTATTTTACACATAGCTCTATATAATTCTTTATAGGGAATCGTGAGCCTAGCACAACTAGCGGATTCTTCAGATTCACAGTTAGTAGAGTACTTCAATAATGTTCAAGAACTAAATACTTCTGATGCAGAAAAGGTACAAGTTGAATAGACTGTAGCAATGAATCCTGGAATTTTGATCTATTTATATAACTAAGTCTCTTCACTTTCTACATTACAAAGATATCCAAGGTTGTAAAGAATATTCCCATCATGAATTTTGAATACAAGATCCACGGTTCGCCGAAAATATTAAATGCCGGAGAATACACCTTGGAAATTAATATGAATAGATTAAAACCCAGTTTAAATCATGAGGGTGGAAGGATACATGCTCCTCGATTCCCAAAGTCACAATATGAAGCTTGGTGGATCGTCTTGGGAGATATAGCGGCCGATGAATTGATCGCTTTGAAACGTGTCTCTACGCGAAATGAAAGTAAAGGAAATGGTAGAAGAAAATTAGAGGATAACATTACAACACGCATAAAGTTTACCGCGCCTCAAACAGGAGATAGACATCAGTACAGGATCTTTTTAATAAGTGATGGGTATCTTGGAATCGATCAACAATATGAAATTGAGCTCGAGACACATCGCCCAACAAATACACTTTAATTGTCCTTAGAGTTATTTTTGTATTTATATATTTATGTATTGAAAATTTTCCACACAAAATTATACCAGTCTAGTTTCACGCTATAGCTCAGATCTGGTTACTTCTGACAATTCAGTTTACCGGAAAAGTCGTCTGCATGGAAACTTAGTGAGCTTTAATGAGGTGAAAAGATATCCAGAGACTCACTCGTTATGCTCAAGTCATTGATTGATTTTTGTTTTCAGATTGACACTTCTTTATAACTATCAGCCTGAAACAGAATTTATATATAATATTACTGTATTAGATAAAAAGTCGTGTTCTCGATCACGTTATTGTAACCAGAATCTATATATTATTTATTGACTAAGAAAAATAAAATAAAAAGTATTGTCACTATTTGATATTTTGATCACATGTAAAATATCATGTGATATAATTTTGATAATCATTTATATTTCCATTTATATTTTTCTATTTATAATTTTATTTTTAATTATTTAATTTATCTAATTTATACATAATTTATCAAAATTAATTTCATTTAACATTAATCAATGTAGCACTAATATCACTCTAATTTAAATTGTATCACTTAGATTATGCTTATCATTTCTTGGTATTATACTTCTTCCAAATTAATCTTATAATTGTTTTTAAATAATGTTATTCATCATATAGATCTGTATTATATTTACATGTATTTAAACAAATATAATTTAACATAAAATAAAATAATTCTTAGATAATTATCAAGTGATTTGAAAATAATAAAAATATAGAAGTTAACTGATGATTTGAAGATAATTCATGAAAATAATAATGTATTTACAAGTAAAATATTATTAGTAAGAACTTTGTTATTTATTAAATAAAAGGATTAAAACATGAAAGTTTCTAGTAACAAGAAACTTTTCTTTTATACATTTTCAATCTTTTATATGATTCACATAACTAATGACTATTCTAAACTATATTATAATTTATATATAATACTAACAATACAAAAGAAGTATAAACACCAAAAAATTATACAAATTCATTAACAAGAAAATATAAAAGAAAATTAATTGCAATTCTAGTGGTTAAAGATAAGAAAAAGTAAGAGTTTGAGTAAAAAGAAATATTATAAAAAAAGAAAATAATAATACAAATATGATTATAGATAATTATAACAAAGAAATTAAAAGATAAAAAGAATAATTATAACAAAAGTGAAAAATAAAAATAAAAATAATTGGTTAAAAATAATAAAATAAAAAATAAAAATAAGCATGATAGGAATATAAATGAGATAAATTAATGATAAAAATATAAGTTTTATAGTGAAAAATACAAAAATAAATAAATTTAGTGAAATAGTAAAAGAAAATAAAACAAAAAGTATACAAAAATGTAATTATTATTTAGGTATTACAATTTAGATATAGAAAAGATAATGATATATACTAAATATAATCGTGTAATGGAATATAATATAAAAATAAAGAGACAAATTAATTTGATCATTATTGAGTTACATAATGTTACATTAATGTTCTTTGTAATACATCTTAATTTTTGTTGATTAATAATTAAGTAATTACAAAATTTTTGATGAAAATAATAACAGTATTCTTCTAAAACTATTTGAATTATTTAATTATTTCAATAACTTAACTGAAAAAGTTCAAATTTTTAATCAATAAAAATAATCTTAATTATTCAAATATAAAACAGAACAAAAATCTCACTTATCAACACCAATATTAACAACAACAAAACAAGAAACATCTTTACAAATAGTAACAACAATATTAATAGTTATTCAAAATATTAAACAAAGTTTTCAAAATTATCTAGAAACTAAGAATGCTTGTCAAAATCTTTTTAACAAATGCCAAAATACCAAAACTCTTATTATAAGCAGTAATTATTATTGTCAAAATGGTGCAATAAATAAATTTTAACATAATAAATAATTTTAGCATTGTCAAAGAATTTTAGCATAAGTAAGTAATTTCAATATTATTAAAGTAATATTAAAATAGCACAATAATACTAAAATAGTACAGTAAATAAATTTTGGCATAATAAATAATTTTGATATTGTCAAAGAATTTTGGTATAAGTAAGTAATTTTGATATTATTCAAATAATACAGTAATGCTGAAATAATATAATAAATAAATTTTGACATAATAAATAAATTTAGTATTGTTAAAGAATTTTAGTATAAGTAAATAATTTTAATATTATTAAAATAATATAATATTATTAAAAAGATATATTAATAATTATATCAAAATTTTTATTATATCAAAAAATATTACAAATAAACTATCATAAATAAAAATTAATTATTTCTCTTTACTAAAGATGACGTGATAACTGTTGCAACGTGATAACAAATAAAGCATCACCTAGTTGCAACTAGTTGTGACTTATAAAATTTTGGAGTTGCAACATATTGTAACGGGTGACAAATAAGCATCACGTACTTGCTGCGCCATCTTTACTCTTTACCAAATTCTAATAATAAATCATTATTATTAAAATTAAATATATCTTTTCCTAAAACTTTATTAATAATATTATTATTATTAATTATCAAATAATTATTATTTTCTTCATGAATATTACTTAAATTATCAATTTCTTTTTCAGAAATTTTTTTCAAACTATCAATAATAATTTGATGATTTAAATTATTTATTTTTTCAAGATCTAATAATTCAATTACTATTGTAATATTATCAACTAGAATATCTTCATCACTAATTATATGTCAATTTCCTATTAAAAAAATGAGTCATTTTTAATCCAAAAAATTCTTAATTTTTGAGTTTGAAAATTTTCAAATTTTTTTCTGATTTCTAATATCCAATTTAAATTCAAAAATTTAATGATTTTGTTAACAAATTTCTAGAAAAATATCTAATACTTTCTGGAATATAGTTAGAATATATATGCAAGTTAAACAAGATCTTTTTTATTTTTTCCATAATAGAATCAGAATATATATGCAAGTTAGACAGGATCTTTTTTTATTTTTCTGGAATATAATCAGAATATATATGTAAATTAGACAATATTTTTCTGGAATTTATATGCAAGTTAGACAGGATCTTTTTTTATTTTTCCAGAATAGAGTCAGAATATAAGTGAAAGTTAGACAGATATAAAATTATATTTATTATTATATA